TTAGCATAGAATTATACTTTGTTTCCAAATATTTCCCCAATTCCATTTTGTAAATTGGATGCATTTCCAACAGGTTTTCAGATGGTGCATTCCAAACACAGCAGCTCACTACATAAAAAAATTCTACATGTCATCTTTGATCGTTTGTCAAGTACACTACTCCAGCAGGAGTCATTAGATGAGCATCAAAATGACAACGTGCGTTGGATTTTTTTTTAGCCTTGGGCTTTCAAACTTATTTTAGTAGCCTCTGAAAACTTAAGCAGTGATTCAGCAGGAATTAGATAACAACACAGATCAGCACACATCGATCAGTTTTACAATGCATTCTGGATTTACAGAACAACTGGAAGATCTAAAAAGTATAAATTCAACATTACAAACAATTGCAAATAGTCCAGACGTGGCAAGTTAGACTTATGGCTGTTTACGCTTCCACTCTTTCCAAATGGAAGAACAATAGCAATGTTTAAAAGGTAGCAGTTAGAATTTTGCCAGCTAGGAAAATAGAACTACAGATACTGTGTGGATTTAAAAAAGAATGATTGTTCTCACCTGCCATCCATTCAACAAACAGATTGTAGTTACTCTTCTCACAGGTGGCACCTAACATCCGAATTATATTTGGATGGTTAAGGCGGCTCATCATCCGGATTTCCTCGCGTAAGGTTTGTACCACTTCTTCTTGCTCAGTAGATGTGTTCCTGACGTAGGTCACCTGTTTGCCAAGTTAGAAAAATAAATTTCCAATCCCAAAATGACAAAATTAAATTCTTAGTCCTACATTACAACAGTGATGACAACTCTAAATACTTCAATTGCTGACGTAAAAAGCTCTATATGAATGTAAGCGCACACTTGATCAACCAGACACATCTAAGCTACTGTATCAGCATCCAATGAAAAAAATCTAAGGGAAATCTTGAAATTCTCAGATATTTTCTCCACATTGCATTAAGGAAGACTTGTTGCGGAATGCATCCTTTATTTAGAGAAGTTAGTAATATAATTGCAAATATCAGCACCAAATAAGCACTAAACTAACAGCACTGAAAAAAGTTGCTCCAACAATTCAAGTCGAAGAGGAAGAGGTTTGGAGAGAAGGGAACTTAAAATGTAGATACTGAAGTTCCTTCAAGAGCAAAGGAAAAGTTATGGCTAATGAGCAATCTGTCACTCTCCACCACTCAATTTCTACATAGAGGAAACAAAAACAAATTATAGAGATTGGTGGTGGATCAAGAGGACCAAGATATTTCAGTGTGTTCGAAATAAACCAAAATCATATGTTCATCAGAATGATCCAGCAAAACAATTTGACTTAATAAAAATGAATATTGTTTTAAAGTGATTGTAAAATGACATCGAGGCAATCTTCAAAATATTAGCGTGGCAAGTCACAAGTAGAACAAACTCAAATAAGCAAAATCCTGTGGATGCCAAGAGTAATCAGAAACTGTTAGAAACCCTCAGCAGGTCAGGCAGCATCTATACAGGGATAAACAGTTAATATTTTAGGTAGATAATCTTTGAAGGTTGGCAAATGTTTAAGTGCAACATGTTTGCAGGATACACACAGGCAGGAAACAAAGCGGAACTTTTGTCACAAAAGGCAGGAAGGAGAGATTAAATGCGAACATAATTACAAGTCAAATAAAAAAAATCGTGGTAGCGAGAGAGCAAATACTTCTCATGGAGCTGTAAAAAGCAAAAGGAGAATCATGACTGGTTGCTGCTCTGTTGAAAAGAGCATGTCAAACTCGGTGGAAGCAAATTCCAGATTAAGTGGGAGGAGAACATGTCAGGAGCATGGGTGTGGAAGATGGCATAGTCAGATGCGATGGAAATAGGAATGGGCAGAATGGAACAGAGTGCTCATGGTAAACAAGGTGAAAGGCATTTAACCACACATTAAGTTAGCCCTGCGAATCTCCGAGCTTATCATGAATATTGAACGATAGCTTATCGAAAAAAATGGGAAACTATTGAGATAGAGAAGTGAAGGAGGGAAAGGGAACAGTCAGAGGGGAGGGGAAGAAATTGGAATCAAAACAATTACATTTTCTAGTCTGGGGCGAGGAGGTAGTAACAGCACTGACACAGTCAAGAGTGTACCAGAAAGAGAACCAAGAAAAAGACCAGAGTAGCACGGGAACAAGAAAAACGTTCCACCTATGCCACAAAAAGGCAGAAATCACTAAGACCAAGAGAAATAGCAGCCCTCGTGGCAGTATTTATTTGGAGAAAGTGATATGGTCAAAGGAGATGCTTAATTTGAGAACACACTCACAGAATCACAGAACGGTCAGAATCTCTGAACTGTTATGGTTTAGGAAGCTATTCCCAAATGTGCCTGGCTATCTGAACACTGACTCAGAAACAATGTGCGAGGTTACAGGAAAAAGGCAAAAGATTGGCAATGCCTCAATTGAACCTGCTTCCATCCCATTTCCAAGCAGTCCAATCCATATCCTAACTATTACTGTGAGGAAAAAAAAGTTTGAGTTCTCAATCTACTTATGAGTGGAAACAGTTTCCATTAACTACTGACCATGACATTGAAAACCTCTATCAAATTGAAGTTCAGCCTGCCTGGAGGAGGTAGTTAGTGGATAGTGACTGTTTGGAGCTCTGTTCAAGGTAGAAGGAGGGTCATCACGTCTGCCTGGTGTGGGATGGACGGGCCAGTCATTCGTATAGAAAAGACAATGATTAGGGCCAGTAAACATTTGAAAGTGGTAAGGTCAGAGTCTCTGAAATGCAGGCAGGAAGAGAAAAAAATGTTAATGTAGGACAAAATCAGGTTCATTAGGCTGAAGTGCTGGATCTGTTAGAGTAGTTGAGTTAGTGAATCATGAAGAGGAAGCAGAAGAGAGATATTTGGGTTGAGGAATTACAAGATTGGATGTCATAAAGGAGAATCTCTGGGAGGCATCAGTGACATTTGGAAAGTGACAGTTTCATGTTCATCAGTTGATGAATTTGAAGCTTGTTTCTAAACTCAGGACAGAGAGGTCATAAGTATGTTAACAAAGAGCCCCGTCTTATTATAAAACGCAATGTTTCCTAATAACAAGTCAATGCCACAGGAGATCTATTTCACAAAAAGATTAGCATTGGAATATCTGAAGAGATACATGTGGAGAACAGTGAATTATGATTAATCTCCAGTTAACCAATTTCAAAGTGCTATTCAAAATATGAAAATTATAAAAGTTAACTCTAATATAAAATGGTAAAACTAAAATCTTTCAAATTTTCATTTAAACTTGTTAAAATTAGTTCATTTTGAACATAGCTTGTTTTAAGGTAAAGTCTTCCCTCCAAAAAAAAATATGTGGGCACAATCAGAACATCTAGAAATTACCTGTTTCACAGCCATTAATGTTCCTGTTCCCACATCTTGTGCCTGATAACATGAAGAAAACGCCCCAAGGCCTATTTGTTGACCTTTGAACCATTCTACACTCTCTCTGTAAGCAAGCTTTGCTTTGGTATGTCCAGGTAGAGTTTCTGGTGTCTGCAAGTGAAACCATTATAAATATACAACACTTTGGTACATGATTTGTAAGGTGGCATAATCTAAGTTTTATACATTTCAAAAACACCTTTGTAATGTCTACAATCATATTGATAATCATGGAAGAAAGCCAAATGCAATATTCAACATTCTCCATGAGGAAAAAAGTTTTGAACATTTACTTCGTCACATTTTTGAATACAAAGTACAATTCAGCAGTAAAGTTGAGTAATAAGAACAGTTTAAGCTTTGATAGAAGTCTATATTAGAGATTTAGTTTAGATACTTTCAATCAATTGTTCAAACATGCTGTTCTGACACATCATTTTAGCAGGTGGCACTTGAACATGGATCTTTTGGCCCAGACGTAGGGCCATACTACTACACCATAGAGTCCTCCAAAAAGAAATCTATTTCACAATTACAGTATGCGGGTCAGATTAAAATGTATGTATAATAGTATTTCTTACTACTGTAGGCAAGTATTTTCAATGTTGAATGTTAACACACAAGACAGAGTTAACAGTTTATGGGCAAGAGTACATTTCATTTTGTTTGCACTATATAGCCATTGGTTTCTTTAGTAACTTCATCTTGGTTGTGTTTTTTAAAAAATGTCAGCTTTGCCTTCCTGCAATAGTGACATTTTAAATGCCCAAAGTAATAGTTTAGTTTAAATGAATAAACTCACAATAACAAATTAAATTCAAATAATGATTCATCCTTCGCATATTTTAATGCTGTCTTTCAGTTGTTTACATGCAAATCTCACCACTTTCCAAATATTTGGGCTTGGGCATGATATTTCTACTCTCAGCTGAACTCTGAGCATCAAACATCTTGTATTCAGTTTCCCATTATGAATCAAGTCAGCTGTATTGTTAGCTTTACTTTCTACTACTTTCTGTCTAGAAGTTTTTCTTCAAATAATTTTGAAGAACAAGAACAAATTTCAAATGCTTTACTGAGGCAAAATAGATATCTAGAGTTGTACGAGAACAAGGAAAAAGCGAAAGTGTTTCAATACAAACCTGTAATAGATTTTCTTTTGCATTCTATAAACTTTAAAAACATTAAACTGAAGTGTAGGAGACAGGCAGAAGTATTTAGATAGAAAATTATGGATCGTGAGCCTAAGGCAGCTAATCCTGTAGTCATGAATGACAGGACTAAAGGACCGTTGGAAAACCCAAGAGAAAAAGACAATAAAGTTGCAAGAGGAAAGGTTATTGTACAAGAGACAGAGAGGAATACAACTGTAATAGGTTATAACAGTGGGATGAGATTTTTTAATTTTGAAGCATTGGGTCAGAGTATGTAGTGGGTAATGAATAGAGTAGGTAGGATATAGGTTCCAAGTCTTGAATGAATTGAATTTTACTGACATTGGAGACAAACAGCTGGCTGAAAGAACAATGATGATGTCAAGTCTGAAAATGACAAAGGTAAGGACAAGAGCTTCAGTAAAAGGGCTGAAATTGGGGAGCTGAAGGAGGAGCAGTGGGAAACAAATTAAGTGCTGGCAAAAGTGGAAGTAATAGGTAATTATTGTAGAACACAGAACAACACATCACGGGAACAAGCCCTTCAACCCACCATGTCTGCGCCGATCACAATGCTATTCTAAACTGGGGCACTCTGCCTGCATATGATCTTTATTCCCAGCCTGGTCATTTCTGTCCAAATGCCTGTTTCTATCACCTCCCCTGGCAGCGCATTCCAGACACCAACTACCCTGTGTGTAACAAAACTTTCCCCCTCTCACCTCAAACCTATGCCCCCTAGTAGTTGAGATCTCCATCCTGGGAGAAAAAGAGATTTCAACTATCCACTCTATCCAGGACTCATTTTTATATAATTCTAGGCTTTCAGGGAGAAGTATCAATAGATGCTCTCAAGGAGATTAGATTTGTGTATAGACCTAAAATAATATAGCATTTAAAAATACATGATCTATCAAGTACAATCAGCATGGTTACATGAAGGGATGTACCTGTTAAGTTTGTTGAGTTCTTTGAAGAGGTAATATGCAGAATAAATAAGAGAGATATGATAGGTTTGGTTTCTAAAAAGCATTTGATTAGGTACCACACATTAAGCTACATAATAATAGCCCATGATCTTGGGGGGTAGTATATTAGTGTGGATAAAGGATTGACTAACTAATAGAAGGCAGTTGGTATAAGGGGGTAGTTGCCAGATGGCAACCTGTAACTAGTGAATGCCACAGGGATTAGTGCTGGGCCCACAATTATTTAAAAGTATTAATGACTTTGACAATGAAAGTGAATGTACTATTGCCAAGTTGGTGGATGATAAAATGGTGGAGCACACTCAATGGGTTGAATGGTCTACTTCTGCTCCCTTGTTTTTTGATCTAACTTTAATACAAAATCCATTCGGTAGATTCAGGAGACCCGTATTTAACAATGCATTATAATTACTCATATACTTAAATGTTTATTTATTTTATAATCAATAATAATTTCCAACTTCTCTCCCCACTGGCACATTTCCATGCAATCAGAAGGTGTAGCACTTGCACATCCTCCATCCTCATTGTCCAAGGTCCAAATCTATCCGGGTGAAGCAGCAATTTACTTATAGTTCTTTCAATCTAGTCTAATACATTCACTGCTTACAATGCAAATCTCCCCTACAATGGTCAATCACTTTGTGGAACACCTCCATTGTGTACACAAGAATAATCCTAACTTTCCAGTTGCTTATCACATCTTGCTCTTCTGCTAATATTTCTGTCCTAGGTGTGCCATAGTGCTCCAGCAGAGCCCAGTGCAAGCTAGGGGAATAGTGCCTCATTTTCTGTTTAGACACTTTACAGCCTTCAAGACTCAATATTGATTTCAACAACTTCAGAGCGTGAACTCTGTCATCCACTGATTATCTGGTGAGGTTCTCCAGTGCTGATTTTACTTTGCATGTTCTCACACCTCATTTGTAAAACATCATTTTTTTCCATCCAGAGACAGCAAGAATTCAGATGCTGGAGTCAGAGATAACACAGTATGGAGCTGGAAGAACGCAGCAGGCCAAGCAGCATCAGAGGAACAGGCAAGTTGACGTTTCGGGTTGGGATCCTTCTTTAGAAATGGGGAGGGGGAAGGAAGCTCAGAAATAAAAAGAGAGAGAGGAGTGGGACTGGGGATTGGTCAATGGGATGGGAAGGGCAGACAGGTGGGAAAGAAGATGGACAGGTCGTGTCAGGTCAAGGAGGTGGGGATGAGAGGGAGGGTTGGACATGGGATGATGCCGGGGATGGGGAGATCTTAATACTGGTGAATTCCATGTTTAGGCCATCGGGCCCTTGGCTCCCGGGGTGGAACATCAGGTGCCGCTTCTTTAGTTTGTAGGTGGTGTCACTGTGACACTGGAGGAGGGCCAGGATGGACATGTCACCCAGGGAGTGGGAGCAGGAGTCAAAATGGTTGGCGACCGGAAGGTGTTGCTGTTTGTTGCCAATACACTTTGATGATCAATTATACAAATATTAACATTTTGTAATCATTTGTGGGGGGAAAAAAAACAGCAAACAGGACATCATTCTCCAATTAGCTGAAAATAGCAAACCACTCAGAGGAGTTTTATTTTAGCATCTCAAAAGATGCAGTTTATGTGGGCTCATCTGTCCTGCTGCTCCACTTGTTTACTTTAAAGATTTTAGGCTATCAATCTTAATCTCGATGAGCAAATCTGTGCTTCCTGAGAGCTCACTAAGTATTTCATAATAAAGTCACTTTCAAAAAGTTGTTGGTCAGTACTGAGAGTCAATTCTGTCTGTATTCTTGAGCAATAACAAAACTATTTAATTTTCCTAGTTAACCAAGATTTCATATGCACCAACGCAAAATTAGAATTCGTTGCTTAATTTCTTTGTGAAATTTGACAAAAGATTGATTAATTTTCTCAATTAGAATGGTGCATACACACCATACAAATAATATAGTCATAATCAACAAGTTTCACAAGACAAAAATGAAACTGTGCAAGGTAAACTTAAAAAGTTCCAGATTTTGTGAATTAAATGTAATTGCCCATCAGCTGCCATGGTGGACTTGGAGAGATTGTGTAACCGGCCTTTTATTACGTTAAAAAATAGAAACTTTCCAAATGGATTTTAACATTAGATGCCACCCATCTTTTCATTTTGCAAAGACTGCAAAGACATTAGTACACAAATATACGAGTTCTTCAGACAAGGATGGGAATTAGAAAGATCTCTTTGGGGGAATGAAACACACTTACATCCAACTGAATGAGAATGACATCCTCTCCATTCTGAACTTGCAGCTGAGGAATAGCAGGGAGCGCATCCTGGGATGCTGACATAGCTAAGGCAACAGCCAATGCCTCCTCCTCCTCTGCTTCCATTTTCTCTTTGCACTTCTGATTCTGATTAACATCATCATTGTAGGTACAGTCAGTCTCTGTCCTCTCAGGAGAGAGCACAGCAACTTCAGATTTAAATGTAACAGTACTATCACATGTAGGCATTGATGCTTCAAGCAGATCTTCCATACTAGAGTTCAGTTCTGTTGAAGTATCGAGGCGACAAGTATCCTCCACAGGAGTAAATACAGTTTCATCACTTGGAATAACTGGGTTGCTACTACAGTGGTCACTAAGCTCAAGATCTTTCAGTTCAAGCATCATACAGCTTCTGCTCAAGTCACCTGAAAATTTCTCTATTTCATTTAGGCATGGCCGCGATGGTTTTGGTCTGTGGATCTGACAGGATGCAGGAGGCCGTGCCTGGGTAAAAACTGGAGACAGCTTTTCAGTCTCTTTACCTCCAGTGACATCTTTAGGACAGTTGTTTTGAATCTGAAGAGAAAACTTTCGCTGCACTTTTGGGGAAGACAATGCAAATTTGCTAGGAACAAAACCCTGAGGTCGTAGTTTGGAACCATCAATAGCCGTTTGTCCAGCTAAAGGATTTGATGAAGAAGACGATGAGGACAAAGATGAGGGTGATGACGGGGAAGGCAAAAATGGGAAGGAAAGCTGGGAATGATTTAATGGTGTCACTGATGAACATGAACTGATACACTGACTCAGTGGCCTGGGACGTACTTGAATGGCTGTCTTTGGTTGTTCACAGGGCACTGCAGTCACAAGTCTTGTAGAAGAAATATCTTGCACTGTCTCTCCCATTTCATTTGCTCCAACACCAGATTTAGGATCATGATCAGGACTAAACACACTTTTTCTTGCTTTTCCAGATAACTTCACAGTGTTCACCGGGGAGTTGTTTTCTGTAGTATATGGTGAATTATGCGGAGCTGAAGGCTCTATGAAATGATCATGTCTTCCATCCACAGTTTGTTCATCCTCTATACCTGATTGAATGGCATCAAGAATGTCCATTTCCTCTGCTATAGCTATCAAGCGCCGCCGCATACGCGTGTAATGGGTTGAGCTGGTTACACTCAGCATGTGTATAAGTTTCACAAAAACACGAGGAACTCTTGCAACCATCCGGGCAGCACTGAGGAAGACTCTTCGGGACATTTTACCAACCATTGAATGGGAGTTGTCAATAGACTGCAGTGCAAAATTCAAAAGTGACAGTAGCTTCTTGTATCTAGAAAATAAAGCAGAACATCATAAGAATAGTCTTTACAACATATCTGAGCTAAACGTGGAGAGCTCCTTGTACATAATATTTTAAATACGCAATGTTCCAACAGTAAAAATGGCTTCTCTGCATTAGTAATTGAGTACTGTAATAAAAGCTTTCAGAGTAAGATCCACTTGGAAGGCATTTATTTTAGGATGGGAACAGTTAAATCTATCGGTTTTTCTAATTACTTTAGAATGGCTAGCGCAGGTAATCTCAAATTAAGGAGAACTTTTGGGCCTTACCAAGAATTTTTAAAATTGTTGCATAACCCCTTCCTCAGTGCTCAGAATGATCCCAATTTCATACAAAAATACCTCCACTCCTCTTGTGACCTGATTCTACCAAGCAACCTCCAACAGCACGTAAAGTGATATTGTTTCTCCTTCAAGTAATTTCTGGAGCCATCCATGCTACACAACCGACTTGAACAGTGGTTTGCAGACACTCTAATCTTGAACTTTGATAATTAAACCATTCTGCCTTACACACAATTCAAAGTGCCCCATCCTCTTCTTTCAAGAGGTTGTCGCACAATATTTCTACTGGATGTGACTTTCAAATATCTACTCATTCCAATCTCCATTGATCCCCGAATCTAATGGGCAATCACTGCTCTTTTCCAAAGCTCCTAATGCAGCTACATGTCCCAGGACCTGCCCTGCCCACATGGACAGCAGCTCTCATCAAGAGACCCCTTCATCTTTTCCCCTACTCTTTTAGTATTTTCTCTTTTTCAAGTACACCACTTTGTTCCACATTAAAATCCTCATTAACCACTACATTAATTGGTAACGTGTTGCTCAGAGATAGCCTGCTTTCTTTGACATCTAATCAGTGGTTTTTGCTCCACAGCTCAGCTCCCTTTTCATCCCTTGTTAAATCTCTCAGTACATATAAATCTGTCACAGTTATGGCCACTCCCTTGACTTCTTCACTCATGTTCTGTGCTGTTTTTTTTTAAAAACGTACTTGATTACTGATGAGGCCAGTCATCATCCCTTTTCTAAATTGATTCTCTGTACATCTTTCCAGATCCAAAGAACTTCTCTTCTTTACCCTAGTCTCGGACTCTGGACTTTCTAACTTATTCCAGTTCAGACAAAAAGATCACAAATGTGAAATGTTAACTGGCTCACTCCAAGTGCTACCTGACACTGCCTAACCCCGAGTATTTCCAACATTTCTACATTTATTCCATCTCCAACCATTCCCCTCAACATTCATAAGAACACAAGAACCAGGAGCAGGAGTAGGCCATTTGGCCCTTTGAGCCTGCTCTGCCATTCAATAAGATCATGGCTGATCTTTTTGTGGCCTCAGCTCCACTTACCCACCCTCTCACCATAACCCTTAATTCCTTTACTAATCAAAACATTATCTTAGCTTTAAAAGCATTCAATGAGGAAGCCTCAACTACTTCACTGGGCAGAGAACTCCATTGATTCACAACCCTTTAGGTGAAGTTCCTCCTCAATTCAGTCCTAAATCTGGTACCCCTAATTTTGAGGCTATGCCCTCTTATTCTAGTTTCAACCACCAGTGGAAACAACCTCCCTGCTTCTAGCTTATCCATTCCCTTCATAATTTTATATGTTTCTATAAGATCCCCCCCCCATTCTTCTAAATTCCAATGAATATAATCCCATATTCCATATTCATCAAAACCATTTTCATTTACATCTGCTTTTGGGAGGAAAATAAATTCAAGTAATTTATAATCACACATTCCAACATTTGGCTCTTCGTTCTCAATAACTTTGTAGCTGTAGGCTGGCCCAATCACTCCCTGAAGTATACTTTCCACATCCTTTCCATAGGAAGGATGTGGAAACATTGGAAAGGGTGCAGAGGAGATTTACCAGGATGTTGCCTGGTATGGATGGAAGGTCTTATGAGGAAAGGCTGAGGGACTTGAGGTTGTTTTCGTTAGAGAGAAGAAGGTTAAGAGGTGACTTAATAGAGACATACAAGATGATTAGATAGGGTGGACAGTGAGAGCCTTTTTCCTCGGATGGTGATGGCTAACACGAGGGGACATAGCTTTAAATTGAGGGGTGATGGATATAGGACAGATGTCAGAGGTAGGTTCTTTACTCAGAGAGTAGTAAGGGCGTGGAATGCCCTGCCTGCAACAGTAGTAGACTCGCCAACTTTAAGGGCATTTAAATGGTCATTGGATAAACATATGGATGATAATGGAATAGTATAGGTTAGATGGGCTTCAGATTGGTTTCACAGGTCGGTGCAACATCGAGGGCCGAAGGGCCTGTACTGCGCTGTAATGTTCAATGTTCTATGTTCTATATCCTTGTCCAGGCCAAAATCAATCCCTTGCCCCAATTTTGATCACATCCAAGAACATCCGTGGGAATGGGGCAAAGACTTGAGTCCATCTACACACAATTGATTTAGTCATCCATTGCCAGATATGGCTGGACCACATTAATTTTTAGGAAGCTTCACCCTCCTTTGATGTCCAAGAGGATCAGGCAGTATGGAATGACATTAGTAAACAAGGTCCCAGTACCTTTTCTTCCCACTATTGCACAGCTCCTTAACCCAGTGTCAGTTTGCTCTACTATTCTCTACAAGTTAGAAAACCTCAAATCTCTCTTCCCACAAGACCTCCTATTCAACTCCTATGTTCATTAATGCCGCGTCTCCCCAAATGCCATCCAACTTGTCCCCCACCACCCTTGCTAGATCCACGTCATTCAGTTCTCTCCATTCACTCCCCTGTTCCCAGCTTTACTGAGCAGGCCCATCTCGTTTCATTTAAATGAACATACATGGATGCCGGGAGAAGCGGCTTCCAGTCTTACCTAGCAATGGCCGCCAGTTCCTAGAGTCTTTCTACTTTAAGTACACTAAAATCCAGGCCAACATCTCTTTACCCACCACTCCCTCCCCACCATGGGCCCTGACTCATCTATCTTGCAACTGTTAGAATCCCTACAAAACAAGTTCCCACCATAATGTGCTAATACAGTCATAGTTAATGAATAACATTCACTAACTTTGACTGAGGTGTTATGATTTCTCCCCGTGCTGACCCTGAATGACATCATCTAGAGATGGAATCATATTCCACTTGGTATACCAATGACAACCTCCACTTCTCTCTGCTGCACGACTGCTCATTAAACACTCAGTCTTGGATGAATCAGTTTCATCAAGCTAAACAATGGAAACACCAAAGCCATCAGCTTCATGCTCAGTCTCTTCATCCTGTCTACTGCTTGCAAACATTGTGTACACCTAACCTCAAGTTAAACTCCCAACCAAACATCACGATGTTTATCTACTGCTCCTTCAGTACTATCATCTGCCTCTGCCTTACTTCAACTTGTCTGATGCTGAAACCATAATTTGGGTCACTTTTAGATGAGAGCGTTCCTGTGCTCTGCTTACCGGCCTCTCATATCTCAAATCCCAACTCATCGAAAACACTGATACTGGAATCCTATCCTGCACTAATTCATTCATCAATTCTGATCTTCACAAACTTACATGGACTCCCAGTGCACCTGTGCTTCAAATTTGAAATTCTTACCATGTATCTTCAAAATCACTCCACAGGCTCACACTTCTAGTATTCTCTAATGCTGCTCCCCAATAAAGTTTTGGGTTTCTCAGATTCTGGCTTCATGCATTTCCAACTACCCACCCCCAAATCCGACCATTACACTGCCACCCACCTAGACCCCAAACTTCGGAATTTTCTTTCATTCCTAATATTTCTCCATTTCTCTTCCTTAAACGCCACCTCTTTACTTGACCGTTGTCTCATCCTCCTAATCACTCCAACTTCACATTCGTTTTTCTACTATACCTCTGAATCACACTGGAATAATTTTCCAAAGTAAAAGATTCCAACAAGAATCCAAAGTTGTTGTACAATAAAGTTGGATTTTTAAATAGCAGCCAATACTCCCTTACTACAACCTCTACGACTATCACAGTTCAAGGATCTGCCACGTTTGTATCCTCTGACCTTGAAAAGTAGGGTCCCTGCATAATGCACTTCAAAGTCAAATTGCAGGACGTTGGCATTTCAACCACAGTAAACGCTATGCAATGTTTGGTGGCAATTTTTTACAAACTCGCATTTACCTTTCTATGTTACACTACAGCATTTCAATGTTGCTAGGACTTCGTTCAACATGTACTATAGAGAGAAACTTCTACTAATTCTTTGGTATTATTGCCAATTCATCCACTTCTTTGGCACACTTGCATTTCATGAGAATCAAGACTTTACTTAAAGCTGTAACTTTCCAGCTAGATTAATAAGCCAACTGGTGCAATGGATAACTTAAACTATGCTATTCTCATCAAACCAAACGCCAATAAATCAAAATAGGATTCTACAAATTAATATTTGTAGAAGTTTATTAATGGCAGCGCGTGTGCATTTGTGAAACTAATTTATCACATTGGAGAGTAGTTATCAGCTGCCAGAAACTTGTTAAAAAGCTCAAGCCTCCAATTAAATACAAAATGTCAATATACCCAACATGACTCTTCCCTTATAACTTGTGGACCTTATAACTTGTTGAAATTCATTATTGTGAACTAATATTTGGCTAACAGGAATGTCCGAGGTTTTGCAACAGGGTAGCTACTTGTAATTCCTCAGAATTATCAATGTTTACAGTTACCCTTAAATCAGCAAAGTTCATGCATAATACTACCGAAAATTACCTCCCTAGCGATGAACTCAAAACTTATATGCATATAAAAAAATAAAAGTATGATATTGAAAAATATTGCACTTGTTATAGCCTGTGTTGCTTAGTTTAGTAGAATCTATGGGCAGCTGTGGGCAACTTTTTTTTAAGATCCAAGATGGCAACCAAGTAGGGCTCCTGAGCTAGATCTCACCTACTCTGTCCATTTCAGTTTCTTTCCCTCTCTTTGTGTTTTTTGTTCTTCTTTCCTCTTAACTCCCAACCTCAGGCAGCAATGGCAACGTCCAAGATGAAGAGGCTCAGCCCTAAGTCGTGGCAGTGAGGCCCAGCTCCGAGTGGTGGCCAGCACAGACTCATCTGCTCCGTCTTCTCTGCTTGGAGAGACTATAATTCTGAACTTCACGTTTCTTTATTCTTATAGTTTATACTTAAGATTTTGTACCTAGATATCTTTTGTACCTAAAATGGCGCTGTAAGCAGCGATTTTGTAAACTTTTCCCTCGTGAGTACATGTGACAATAAGCCTAATTCTAATTCCAAAACTTGAATATCTTAAAATTATTAGACCAAACTGTGAAATATATAAATGATAAACTGCCTATACAACTTGGCAGCAATGAGGAAGAAATACCTTTACCTTTCTAGCACAAGTTCTGTTTCAACAACTGGGTCCTCACTATTAGAAACAATGTGAGGGTAGAATTCAGCTGGAAATTCCAGTAAAAGTCTATCGATGAGACACAGACGACCAAGCAAAGCCTGCCAATTAGTTGATTCTGTTGAGGTACCCAGTATACAGTTTAAGACATAGTCAATACCTCCAACTCCAATGGATGCTACAGGGAGAAAAGAAAAAACATATTATATTTAGGATTGAATTTATAGCAGAATATTTACTTACTATTATCTTCCACATCTAGAAAGCATATTACAAATCAGTACAATTAATAACTATGAATAGAGAAAATACCACCACAAAGCAACACTGACTACAGCAGCATGTAAAATATCAGTTTTCACACTCATCTCTCCATTACATTCACTGTTTAGCAACAGACAACTCCATCTCTTGAGCTTGTGCTAACATTCAAGTGTGACCATAGATGACCTACACTTCCCTTCTATTTACTGGTCTTTAATCCATTTCACTTGATACTATACCTAATAATATAATGTGATTGCAGTCTCAAAACTTTTAACTGACTCCCATCTTCTTCTGGGGGCAAAGAGAGCTCTAGATTTCCAATGTGAGTAAGTACTTCTTAACTTAATTCCTAAATGATCCAATTCTAATTTTAATATTGCGTCCCTCACTCTAGATTTTCCACACCAGAAAACAAACCATCTATCTTTTCAAATGCCTCTGAGTTTAAACACCTCAATTAAGTCACCATTCACTCCTCTAAATTGAATGAGAGTAAAAAACATTATAATATACCTGTCCTCATAACGCTTGAAGTCACAGTTTATTCCAATTAATATTTACTCCACCAAGGCTTATACTTTGGAGGCAGACTGTACGACAGAAGCATCACTTGGCATTCCAATAATAAAAGTAAAATGCAATTCACCTCTGGATTGCTTTGTTTTCATCTTTGCAAACATGGATATCAAAATCACATTTTAATGCCATGCTTGTTAATTGTCTGCCATTAGGAAAAAAAATCCAATTTATCTCCTTGGACAAAAGAACTCCATTTGCCACAGTCTTGCCCAATCATTTAACTTCTGTCCTTTTATAATTTCACTGCTGCCTACACAAATCACTATGACTCCTAACCGATCATCACTTCCAATATAACTGCAGACCTCTGGTGAAAACATCACATCATGCCAATCAGGGTACATTACCATTATTCCTATTGTTTTCTACCTTCCAACAAATGGTTAAGCCAGGACACAAAAATGCATTCAAAACTATGGCCTTTAGTTTTCATAAAAAATTTCTTATGCAGACCTTGTCAGAGTGAAGGTTCATTTGGACAATATTCCAACATTTCCCTACCACCAGGTTGATTTAATTTTCCGAAGATCTCACCAGATTCTGATATGATCTATCCATCACAAAACCAAACCTATGTTTTTTCCTGACAATTCCAAATGTTCAGTCATTCAGTTCCTGATGATAGTTTACCACTAGCTATGGAGGCGCTATTGGAATCTGAGGTCTGCAGTTTCCAGGCAACTCCTTTCTCATATAATAGTGACATTTCCATATCTAGCGTGTTTGGGATGACAGATGTGTTGGTCATAATTTTCTCAAATATTTTAGATGTGGGAATGTCACCATAATAGGATAAAGGAGTTGCCAGGAAGTTGCAGACCTCAGATGGCAGCTTCCTTCCCTAAAAGGGCAATGAACAAAATGTATCTAACAGCCAAGACAGACAGTATGAATGAAATGGATTTTCTTAACAAGACACTTACATAAAAGATGCAGCACAAAATACACAAGTAAATTTTAACACCAACTGTTTCTTGCCTGATTTAAGAATTTCTCTGCTCACAGCAAGCTCTCCTGACTGGCCTTTGCACAATTCCAACAGTGTAGAAACAGAAAGTTGGCTTGTACGACTGAAAATAAGATGCATAAAAGGATAATGAGGTTGTGTGCACAATGTTTCTTTTCTACCTTAGGTTATCACATTACTATTTAATACTTGCACAGGTTGCATGAAAAGCACCTTGGAACATTTCAGTGCTTTAGAAAAAGAGAAAAACATTGAGCTCCTGCCAAGCAACAAGCTGTCCCATGACAGAAAAGTATAGAGAGAGAGAGAACCATCCAGAAGGATAGGAAGTGTGCAGATTTCTTTCAGAGGGGGAAGCAGGTTATTTACAGGAAAAAGGTCTGTAGGTACAGCAGTGCAGTTTAGCAGTCTCCAAATTAGTCAGGGCAGATTAAAAGTCACCTCGAATGGTCTAGACATTAATAAGAAAAAAGCTCCAGAACAAGAAGGCTTTAATGTTGTAAAATATCTTCCTCTATGACAAGACTGTTGAACGCACAAGTTTAAGGAATACATTTTTAGGGGTAAGTCAGCTGTTAGGTTGCACAAACAGACATTAACTAAAAAGAACAACATCAAGTAAATGCAGAAGTTTGCTGGAAAGAAAGCAGGTACAGTATGCCAACTGAACAGGAGCTTTAAAACGGAAGGTGAGCCTTCAGTAAGGTTTGATCATCTCCACTCCTCTTACACGCCAGCTCCCCAAAGCCCTCAACTCAACATTTCAAAAATCTATTTACATCTTTGAATACTGAAACATACTTTGGTGACCCAGCCTATACAACTTTGTGGTACAGAATTCCAGATATTCACTATCCTCAGTGAAGAGATTTTTCAGTTTTAAATAAGGTACTATTCTGTGATTACGTTACCTATTTTGAGATTTTCCCACTAGTGGAAACATCAAAAACAGAAGACCAAAAGACATAGGAGTAGAATTAGGCTATTTAGCCTAGAGTCTGCTCTGTCATTCAATCATGGCTGATATGTTTCTCAAACCTATTCTCCCGCCTTCTCCCCATAACTCTTGATCCCCTTACTAATCAACAACATATTTATCGCTGTCTTAAATATGCTCAATGACTTGGCCCACACAGCCCTGTGCGGCATCAAAGTTCCACACATCAATCATTCTATGGCTTAAGAAATACATCCTCATCTCAGTTCTAAAGGGTCTTCCCTTCACTCCGAGGCTGTGCCCGTGGGTCTTAGTTGAACCATCATCTCCACTCCACAGTATCCTGTCAATTTTGATTAGATTCCAACCCCAACTTCATCCTTCTAAACTTCAAGTACAAACCCAGAGTCCTCAACTGCTCTTCATATGTCAAGGCACTTCATCCCTAGGATCACTCTTGTAAATCTCTGCTGGACCCCCTCCAAGGCCAGTGCATACTTGCTTAGATATGGGGCTCAAAACTATTCACATTATTACAAATGTAGTCTGACCAGAGTCAGGACTCAGCAGTACCTCTCTGTCCTCTTGAAATTAATGCTAACAATGCCTTTGCCTTCCTAACTGCCAACTTAGAAGCATTGTTAAGCTTATGATAGTCCTGAACTGAGACTCCCAAAACCCTTTGTACTTCAGATTTCCAAAGCCCTTCCCCATTTAGAAAATACTCTATGCCTCTATTCTTCCTATCAAAGTGCATAACCTCATTCTCTCCCACACAGTACTCCATATTCCACTTTTGCCCCATCTCCTGGCTTGTCCAAGTCCTTCTGCAGCCTCCCCATTTCCACAACACTACCTGTCCCTCCACCTAACCTTGTGTCATCTGCAAACTTAGCAACAATGCCCTCAGTTCCTTCATCCAAATCGTTAACGTATAACAGAAATAGTTGTGGTCCCAACATTGACCCATATGGAGCACGACTGGTCACTGGCTACCATCCTGAAAAAGACCGTTTCATCCCCAGTCTCTGACTTCTGCCAATCAGCCAATCCTCTATCCATGCCAGTTCCTTGCCCCTAATATCATGGACTCTACTCTTATTAAGCAGCCTTCTTGTCAAAGGCCTTCTGGAAATCCAGAGAGATCATGTCCATTTGTTCCCTTTTGTCTAACTTGCTCATTACCTCCTTAAATAATTCAAACAGATTTGTCAGGCATGACCGGCCCTTGACGAAATCATGCTGACCACGTTATCATGCACTTCCAAGTACTCTACAATCTCATGTTTAATAATGGACTCTAAGAACCTACTAGGGACAGAAGTCAGGCTAACTGGCCTATAGTTTACTGCTTTTTACCTCCCTGCTTTCTTAAACAGGTGTGTTACATTAGCCATTTCCCAGTCCTTCGGGACCTTCCTCGACTCCAGCGATTCCTGAAAAATCACCGGCAATGCCTCCACAATCTCCTCAGCTATCTCCTTCATAACTCTGGGATGTAGTCCATCTGGTCTGGGTGATTTATCTGCCTCCAGATCTTTCAACTCCTTCCAGCACCTTCTCCTCAGTGATGGCCTTAGCTCACACCTCTGTCCCCTGACTCTCCTGAAGTTCTGGTATGCTGCTGGTGTCTTCTGCTGTGAAAACTGATGCAAAGTATCTATTCAGGTCCTCTACTATTTCTTTGATCCCCATTAATTCTTCTCCAACGTCATTTCCTAGTGCTCCAATGTCAACTCTGGCCTCTTTTTTACCTTTTCGTTATTTGAGAATACTCTTGCAATCTTCTTTCTTACTAGCTAGCTTAGCCTCGCCTCGTATTTCATCTTCTACCCCCTTATTGCCTTTTCAGCTAACCTCTGCTGGTTTTTAAAAAAGGTTTCCAAATCCTTTCACTTCCCACTAATCTTCACCACATTGTATGATTTTTCTTTTGCTTTTGTGCTGTCCCTGACTTCCCTTGTCAGCTATGGCTGCCTCGTCCTACTCTTAGGAAGTTTCTTCTTCGCTTCTCGAATTACCCCAGAAACTCCTGCCATTGCTGGTCCATCATCTTCCCTGCTAGACGCCCCTTCTAATCAACTTTGACCAGCTCCTCCCTCATGTCTTTGCAGTTACCTTTACTCAATTGTAATACAGTTAAATCTGATTCCAGTTTCACCTTAAGTTCCGTAATCAACTCATTACACATCACCAAATCCACAATCGTCTACTCCCTAGCAGGCTCTACCACAAGTTGCTGCAAAAAGAAAAATCTCAGGCATTATGAATTTTTTTGAGATCAACTGCTAAACTGATTAGCCAAGTTCACATGCATATTGAAGTCCCCCATGATTATTGTAATAGTGCCTTGCTTACGTATTTGTTCTATCTCCAGATTCATTTTCTTCCACACACCCTGACTACTGCCAGGAGGGCTATACATAGCTCCCATGCAGTATTCTTCCTTTGCACTTCCTCAATTCATTCCCAGACCTGATCCCCTTGCAGCTACATCTCTGATACCCATATAACACCCATGAATTTCAATCTGCACTACAAGTTCACTTACGTTGCTTTGTATACCATGTACTTAAGTACAACACCCTAAGTCCTTCTTTGATTGCCCCCCTCTCTGCTAGGTATGAAGTTAGTATGGAAAGGGTCATGAATCTCTCTGCCCTATCACTTGTTCTGGAAGCTTTAATAACCTCTGCTGAGCCCTTCACATGCCAACTTTTTCCATAACTTTTCATGCAACTGACCTCACCTACACAAATTTTATTTACAGCCCCACTCACAACCCTAGTTATGTTTTTTGCCAGGACCTTGGTCCCAGAGTGATTCAGGTGGAGCCCATCCCATCTCTTTCCTACTACTGATGCCAATGTCCCATGAATTCAAATCTTTTTCTTCCACAACAATCTTTGAACCCTGTTTACTTTTTTAATTTCGTTGACCCTGTTCCTGTTTACTTGTGGCTCAGGTAATAATCCAAAGATTATTGACTGGAAGTCTGCAGAGATATAGATAGGTTAGGTGAGTAGGCAAGGGTCTGACTGGGAGGTCATTCATTTTGGTAGGAATAACTGCAAAAATGGATTATTTAAGTGGTCAAAAATTGCAGCATCCTGCTGTGCAGAGAAAACTGGGCATCTTTGTGCATGAATCACAAAGTTTGTTTGCAGGTAATTAAGACAGGAAATGGAATATTGTTCATCATTGTTAGAGGGATGGTTTTTTAAAAAAAAAAAGTTTATGCTGCAGCTGTATAGGGTGTTGGACAGGCCACGTCTGGAGTGCTGTGCAGTTTTGGTTTCCTTACTTGAGAAAGGATGGACTGGCACTGGAGTGGTTGCAGAGGAGGTTCACTAGGTTGATTCCAGAGTTGAGAGGGGCTTGTGAGGAGAGATTGTGTAGACTGGGATTATACATATTGGAATTTAGAAGAATGAGAGAGCACCTTATGGAAATATATAAAATTATGAAGGGAACAGGCAAGAAAGTAGCAGGGAGGTCGTTTCCACTTGTGGGTGAAACAAGAACTAGGGGGCATAGCCTCAAAATAAGGGAGAGCAGGTTTAGGACTGAGCCGAGAAGGAACTTCTCCCAAAGGGTTGTGAAGCTGTGGAATTCCCTGCCCAGTGAAGCAGATGAAGTGACCTAATTGAATATTTTTAAGGCAAAGATAGATCGCGTTTTGAACAGTAAAAAGAATTAAGGGTTATGTTGAGCAGGTGGGTAAGTGGAGCTGACTCCACAAAGATCAGTCATGGTCTTATTGCATGCGCAGCAGCCTGTAAGGGCCAGATGGCTTATTCCTGCTCGTACTTTTCATTCTGCTTTTAAATTCAATTCCTAGCTACTTATATTTCCTCACCAGAACATCTTTCCTCTTGCTACCTACATTGTGGACCATGAAAACTGGGTCTTTCCCATGCCACTCCAAGTTCCTCCGCAGCCCAGATGAGATGCCCTGAACCAGGACACCATGCAGGCAACACAGCCTTTGGGACTCTCGACCCTGGCCACAGAGAACAGTGTTCATTTCCCTGCCTTTACTATCCCCGATTACAATCATGTTTCTCTTCTCCCCCGGCCTCCCTCCTACACCCCATCTTGAATGGCTCCCTGTACCACAATGCTATGATCAGTTTGCACATCCTCCCTGAAGACCCCATTGTCATCAACAGAGGAAGCAAGAATCTGAAAATTGTTCAACAAGCTCTAGGGCTGAGGCTCCTTCAGCACTACCTCCTGACACCTTCACCTGCCTCGTTGGTAATCACACCCTCCTGCCCCTCACCAGAGGCCAAATTTGACGTAATTAATTTAAAGGATGTAGCTGTCTCCTGCAACACAGCATCCTGACTACCATGATAGACAAATTTCAAAAATAAAACTGAAGGTCTACCAATAAAAGCAAAACCTGTGGATGCTAAAGATCTGAAATAAAGAGAGTGTGCTGGAGAAACTCAACAGGTCTGGCAGCATCGATAGCCAGAGAAACAAAGCGAAGGTCAAATTTGATATGACTTTGTTGGGGCATTTTGAAAAGGAGTCATATCAGACTCAAAACACCTAATAATTAGGAAAAGTACAAATGCCTTCAACTTTGTTGCAATGAAGGCAAATTTTTAATACAGAGGGAACAGAATTAAGACAATTGATAAGAAAATCAGAGGGGAAATCAGGAAAGTTTACATTGTAGAAAAAAACAATACTGTCCGAAAAGATAATGCGAATGGATTCAAAAGTTAGTTTGAAAAGAAACTGGATTGATATTTTAAAAGGAAAAACCTAAACACTAAAGATAGCACCTAGGAAATTAATGCTTTCCTATGCATTGTTGCTAAATGTTTAATGGAAACAATGATGAGAATACTGAAGAACTTTTTATTCTACTTTTGTGCGAGTTGAAATACCCCAAGTCTCAACAAAAATGCAGGTGGCAATGTTATGTAATTATATCATCTAAGGCAGTTATTGAGAATGAAGAAGGAGCCCCCAAAAATTAAAACGTTGCCTGAGAATAAAGCCAATGCTCCATTTGCCCCACTTGACAGGGATATCACATCTAGCATAAATGCAATGAACCAGTTCATTATTTAGCATTCCAAAGATAATCTATGCTTACTACTCAAATACAGCCAAGTTCTCCAAATGAATATATTTATTTCACCTGACCTAATAAGCAAGTAGACACTTGTAATTTAAAAAATTGTAAGCAGCTTTTAGTTCATGGGCCTCCATTATCAAGCTCAATGTGTTTATTTAATAACCTCCATTATTAAAAGGAATATTTAATCTGCAATTCAGAATTAAATATAAATATCAAATACAGATATCTGCATTTGGTATTGTAGTTCATACTTCTAAATGTTAAAACTGCCATTTTGTTCAAAATTTTGTTACCTGTTGGCATCTGCACATTTGACCAATATAGTTTCAACCACTGGCCTGAGAAGACGTTGAAGTCGTGACCTTTCTGCTACTGCATGACAAGGTGTGTACACCAACATGGCTCGTAACGTTTTCTAATAAGAAATGGGAAATAGATACATTTTTCATGTTAATACATTAAGTATAATAAAACAGCAATAACCTGCTCAGTGGAGATATTTTTCAAGAAAGTTTAGCTAGGTTTGTTATTATGTTACTGGATAATCTTAAAGAAAAATCCTAAAGAAATGTGATACATGCTGGCCCAACCTTATTTTTCTTTATGTTGCTGTTCAATTTTATATATACATTTGCAAAATGGTAAATGAGTAAATATCTATCAATGTAAATTAAATTAAAATCTATGTTGTTGTAAAAACATTTAATCAATTTTTCTGTGCAGAGATTCAGGTTTACCTCATCAATATAATTTTAAAGTCTTAAAACCACACTACTTCAAATTCAAGTCACCATTACACACTCTTTTTCTCAGTTTAAGTCAGCTATTGGGGTACTACATTGTGTCTATCAAGAAATTAGTACTGATACAATAAGCTTATCTGACAAAGATGTAAAACACTGAATAACTAGGTTTTACTTATAGGTAAAACACAGCAGCTAGAACGGATGTCCCAATTTCCTTGCATTTACCAATAGCAACAGATGGCACTAGTCTTAAAATCAAATGGATAGTTACGTAGTCTAACAGCGATCATATCAATTACAAGTAGCACACCATTTAATGAAGCAGAATGGGTAATGTTACATTCCATCTTCAATTCTATGGAATGAAGGCCAAATCATTTAAAATGAGAAACAGGGAAGCCAGGCTGATGCAAAAACTAAAGACAATCATTTCAGATATTTCCATTTCGTGTCTGAATTCACAAAATTATTGTTTAGTTTTTGTTATTGCTTAATTTCTACAGAGTGGAATGTAAATGTAAATATTTTCTCCGTCTGTAGTTGGCACATTAATCGGTTGAAAAACACTGTCACAATGTTGGCACAGATTCAAATTTTAAATTACAGAGCATTATAGCTAAATAGAACTGCAAATACCCATTCTGCCTTCCCACTGTTCATTTCGTGAATAATGAAGTTTGTTTGCAGATTGGCAATGAAAATTTGTTTCCAGGTTCAAATTTACAGTAATTTTGATCATACAAACACAAGTGGTAAAGCCACAAATGCTATTGTAAAACTAAACCGATGGGATGGTAATTGGGCACTACAAATAGCCTCAGTCTACATTTTCATCACAGTGGACAGCACCTATATGCCGAAAATGCCATGAAGTCTGGAATCTCATCCCGCCGCTAATACCAACATTTCCTGACATAGGGATGCGAGGGTCCACACATGCACAGTTCGCAGAAGCAGCTGATTTCTTAAAATGCCCAGCAGTCTCCACTGAAACAAGGTTTTGGAGTTGAGATGGAGATTAGACCATGCAACAGATTTGTTCAGTGCACACTTTACTGGATAGCCAGGGTACCATCTTTGAAGAGCAGAAGCATCCTGAAGGGTATGACCATAGGTCACTTTCAGGGTGGGGTAGGAAAAAGCTACTGCTGGAGAAACTCAGCAGGACACAGCAACTGTGGACAGAGAGATACATGTCTATATCTATCTGGAAGCAAGGACCCCAATCTCACTTCACGGCAAACACCACTTCAAACCTTCTTCCATCCTTAAAAATACCCATTATTCTGATTCCTATCCCTCAGCCGATTTTCTGTCCGTGTTAGTACTGTCCATTTTATTCCAAGACTTATAAAACTTTCCTCAAACTGTGGGAATGTACTGAACGCCTCTTTGAAGTCCATGCATATCACATCAACAGCCTTCCCCTCATCAATCCTCTTACCTGTTCAAAACAAACCTCCAACTTAGACACAATTTTTCCATAAATTCAAGCCGAGTCTTGGAAGTTAATCCATATTTTCCAAATGACTATTAACTCTATCCAGAATTTCCAGAAGTTTACCCATCATTGAAGTCAAATTGACCAATTGCTAGACTGACCTTTACACCCTTGTTCGAAAAAAGGGTTGGATGTGGAAGAGGGTGTGACGTTTGTAATTCTCCAAAACACTGGCACCAAGCCCAGATCAAAGGAAGGTTGAAAGATTATTGCCATGGCTTCTGCAATTTCCATTGTCACATCCTTCAATATACTTGGATGCACCTCATCAGCTCAGGGTACCTGATCAAATTTAGTCCTGACAGCTTGTTCACTACTTCATTCTCATCAATTTTAAACCCTTCTAGTAACGAGTTTCCCCCTCAGTCATCAAGACCTCCCTTATAGGTGAA